TTAGTTTAATGTCAATTTAATTTTTCTTGGGTGTCCGTGGTCACAAAGAACACTCTAAACCACATTTCAAAAATTTCTTAATTATATTTTATTTAGTTGAATTATTTTAGTGCAAAAGTCTATTTTTCAAGAAAATCTCATTTTCCTTGAAAAATAGACTTTGATGGTCAAATCAATTCATATTAACTTCAAATTTTTATAGAGTCTTGTCATAACCATTATTTATAGTGCGGATCAATTTTTATGATTTTTTTTATTATATTCTATTTATTTAATTTTTATGGATTTTAATGACTTAAATTAAAAAAATTTATTTTAAAGACGTTTAAACTTAGGATTTATTTTTTTCTTATGGTCCTCTGACCACAGTGAACCTACCAAAATAAACCCTATATTTTTTTTATTTTAATTTATTTAATTATCTGAAGCAAAAGTAGTGACTTAACTATGAAAGTTAAGGTTTAACAAGTTAGGGGTGTTCTCTGACTTCAAAAAAAATCAAGGAACACTGATAATCATATAGAGAACAAACTCTCCAAATTTTATATTACTATGATTAATATTTAATTATTTATGATTTAATTAAGTTTTAGAGTATTTAATTAATTTAAAAATAAATATAAGGCAAATATTTTTTATTTTTGGTCCACTTGATTCTCCTCTATTCCCTAAGCCCAATTGTATTTTTATTTTGTTTTTATGAACTGTCTACACCAAGTTATGAATTTTTGTTATTTATGAATTAACTTAAATCATTAAATGGCTAATTTCTTACTTATCCTACTCAGCGCCAGCACAAACTGTGACATGTCGAAGCTCCATGGGTCGCTGCGCTATTGGACACCGCCTTCTGAGTTAGCCGACATGCGTCTGTGCTTTATGTTCCATCTACTCGTCCGGTGTTATCTGATACGTCTGTCCAAAACATGCGTGATCGGACGGTTAATGGTCATCATTCCCAAATGGTGTAACCCATAAATAACACATTTTCTAACCTTAATTTCTCACTCGATTCTTAGCCAAATCAATGGGGTTTGTTCCTACAGCTTCATATAATTGAGACAAACACATCCATGCGGTTAAATGATCATGAAATATATATTCTCTTCACAATTAGTGAGACCCAGCCGAAAATAGGGTTGGTGATTTATACCTTTGCCCAAGAAGCAAGACCTCAATTAGGTGCTTGTAGAAGGTTCAGTGGAGTCCTATGAATGTCCTCAAAGTGTCACCTTCCTCTAGTATGGGGTGCAAGTAAGAATTCGATCAAAGGGTGACACGTGCTTGGTCTAGTTGTATGACAAAGGGCTCAAAGGATGGGGCTTTTAGTGGAGAACTTCCTCTCTTACCTTGGTGAAGCTTAAGAGTCAATCTATTTATGAAATTGATTGAGTTTCAGGTATAACAGTGAAAATTTCTGGATTTCAGGTATGAAATTAGGGCTAGAGTGTGGGAATGAGGCCTGGAAAATAGTGGTGATGAACTTCTCTGGGTTGTTAGGTGGTCTGGAGAAATTTTAGTAGAGTTTGGCTAAGGTTTTGAGCACTCTCCTCCTCTTGGCCGTGAGGGGCCTCCTATTTATAGAGAAGGTTCTGGTGGCCAACAAGACATGTCATTGTGGCAGGGGAGCCGCTTAGGTGAAGGATAGAAGGGCTCTGATGTCCAATGAGGATAAGGCACATCAGGGAGTCCCAATCTTGGATTTAAGCCTTGTTAAGGCTCTCAGGCTTGGTGTTTTCTGGCGGCTGGGTGGCTAGCAGGCCAGGATCAGGTTACCTCCAAGCTCAAGGGAGCCAGGGAGGTTGAGTGGTCAACTGAATTTGGTTCCAAGGAGGCTCCAAGACTTTTTCCAAGGGGGAAGTGAGGTTTGTATTTAACCACTTGGTCCAAGGGCTAGGTTTGGTTCCATGGTGGTTAGGATGAGTCCTATGACCCCAAGGCAGGTTTAGATGAACTTAAATGGCTGGCTTGGGCATGAAACCAAGGTTTAAATGTTTCATGGAAGAGGTAAGTTTAAGTGAAGGAGGGAGAAAGTGTGTCCACCTCCACTTGCCAAATATGGTAAGTTTGACCTCATGATGTCCATGGAAGGCTCCACGAGGCATGTTATGTCATGTATGGAGTCATGAGAAGGTTTCATGCAAATGACATTTAGGTTTTTATGAATCTTGGTTGAAAGAGGTCAACATGCCTCATTTTGGAAAAATTTCATGTACATGCATGGTATGCTCCATATGATGCCATGATGGGCTGATTTAAATACCATCAGATGATGAAAAATTAATCTTTTGTCATGTGGGCTCAAATTGGGCTTTTGAATTTGATGTCATGGGCTTTTAAATATGCTTATGAGCATGAGCGTTAAAAATGTGCATGATGGATTTTAAATTTTTGGATTTAATCAAATGATCTTTGATTTAACTTACAGTAGATTTGAACAAGTTGAATTTTGATGTAGATTTAGAATTAAGGAAATTTGAAATCAATTTGATGGAAGTTGGGAGTAATTTGGCGATTTTGGGCCTTTAGGGGTAAAATTAGGATTTTAGTAAAAATTGGTCAATTTGGTCAAATTGGGCCCATTGGTTGGTTGGGATTGGTTTAGGGGAGGTTTAAAATGATTTCAGAGGTTTTGGGAATTTTTTGGACATGAGGGGTATTTTGAGAATTTTTTGGGACATTGTGGTTTTTTGAGCAATTTAGATAGTTTGAAATGATTTGTCATGGTTTTGGAGAAAATTGCTGGATTTGGGCCACTTTTATAAATTTAGGGTTCGAGGAGCATTTTGGTAATTTTGGAGAAGTTAGGGCCTAAAAGGCCAAAATTGAGTGTTTAGATGGGATTGAAATTCATTGAAGATGTCAATCACAAGGTTACCTTATCTAGTCCATGAGACCAAGGGGAAGCTCATTTTGGACCCTTCATGTGTGGGTCCTAGCCACCCTAGCTAAAGATCTAGTAGTCTGGGGACCACCCACATGAGTTTTCAAAAGAGCCAAAGGAAATATGTTCAATGGGTGTAGTTTCAAGGTATCAAAACAAGTAAGGATTTGTGTTGTGCTTAAGTGTGTTAGAGACCAAACATTAGCCACCCAAGGTTGCACTAAGTTTAACAGTCCTATGGGCACTCATCCTTGAAGCCTTACATGTTGGTCTCAACCTTCCGAGCGCTGGACGTTTATGATCATCTATGTAGGTTCAAAAGAGAGCAAGGAAGTGGTTTGAATTTCTATGTAGATGGGTTCCATCTCAGGATTTCTAGGATAGTCAAAAGGAAAATTCTATGGCTTGATTCTAAGTACTAAGAGGAAAGAAAGACGTCAACAAAATTGAGGTCAACAAGGGCATAGAGACTGAAGTTGGGGGCTTGACCTGACCCGCAATTACGCAGTTTTTATATATGTTTTCTATCCAAAATCTTCGCTCAATTTAATTAAGTGGCCAGTGTGCAAAATAAATGTAAAGTTTGGTTTATAGTTTATACACTAGGGGTACTACGCAATTATACATATTGTTTCAAGTAGTATAGAGTTTTCCTTAAAAACCCAAGTATCAATCACACAGGGAAGGTGGTAACTATATGGATATGACTAAGAAAACATTTATTTTAGATAGTAGAATATAATCTAAGAAAATATTAAAGTACTTCAAGTATGAAATACAGTTTACTAATTATTACGAGTACAACTTATAAGTAAATACAGAGATTCGAAAATAACTAAAATTATAAAATTCAAGATATTTAAAGAGACTTTCTCCTTGCAGATAATTCATAATCAGAGTAGGATTTCAAATGTTTAGAAGTCTAACTATGGTATTGTGACAAATAGAAGTATACCCATTCTTTACTTTTTTAATGTGTAAAAAATATTGGCTAATTTAAAGATGGTGTCGACATGTATAGTAGTGTTGGATAGGTTCTAGTCTCTCACTCTGAGATTACTCACCGTGCCCTCTCTATAGGACCTCCTAGTGACCCTTAGTTCCTAATTATAGACTAAATTGATAAAAGAATATAGTCTATCACTCTATAAATACTTTGTGGGCACTTTTTGTTCCTTAATGATGTCAAAGTTGAGTGACTTAGGCTTGTTGGACTCATCTAACCGGGACAATTTGATTAAAAATGTTAGATTTGGAAGCTATTTGACCTTCAATTGACTACACAAAACTTTCAAAAGTGTTTTAATGACTTGATTTGACTTGGTTTGAATCAATTTTAGTGTCATTGAATCCTCCTCATCAAGCCAGTTAGTTTGACAGTAAGTTTGATGAAATCGATATTCTAGAACATTTTAACTTGTGTTTGAGCATCTATTGTTAAAAAATGGCTCTAGATTTTTGTAAAATGCATCGAGTCATGTGAAATAGAAAATTTGTTGACGACTTGCCAACTTTAAATTGGTGAAAAAAAGGAGTTCAAAGATCGATTATTTGTTGAGCATATTAGTATTAACTTACAAGCTAATTCAATTTTTATATCTTGTGTGAGATATTAAAAAAATTAAAATAAATATTTTATACTTAAGCTTAATAAACTTATTAAAATTAATTAGATTATAGATTTTAATGTTAATTAAAATAAGAAAAATTTTACAAAACTTCAATGACTTGTGGGTACTTTCAAATTGTTATCCGTTTATCAGTCGTCAAATGAGCCATCAACGTGTGACACTTATTAACAGTTCCAGGCAGAAATCAGTTTTATATGAATCAAAATTAAACCAATGACGATTCATTATCGAATAGATCAAACTGATTCGTCCAATTCAATTTTCAAAATTATGTATATAAAAATATTAAAAGGCACCATTTCTCTGCATTAAGAATTGTGCGTGACTGACGCACCCAACCGTTTATGCGGTAAACAAAAGTGTCGATGTCCCTCCGTCGAGTTCTACCAAGTAATCTACACAAACAAAATCAGATCGGCCCATTCGCAGTAGCTTTTGAAAACTGCGCTTATTTCTTTCCGGGCATGCCCCTGTGCCCCGAGTAAACCTACACGGGTCTGAATCATTTTAAATCACCCCAGCTCCCCAATATACTCTAGCCGATCAAATTACTGAATCAGGCATCGGATCTCAAGGAATCTTGTCAACTAATCGCACTTTTTAGTCTTTCCGACTTTCATCAGTACAAGCTCTTCCTTTATTGCACCTTCACAGTCGTCTACCTTGCTCCACTCCTTGTAGCGTTAATGGTGGCGCTGCGTTGAGTATTAGAGAGAAGAATGCTGATGACTTCTTGGGCGCTACTTCTTATTTCTCTATCCTCGCAGGCGGCGGCCCTGACGACCGATGGCCTTTCTTTGCTCGCTCTGAAAGCTGCTATCACGCTTGATCCCCACCGCATTCTCGACTCCTGGGTTGATTCTGATGACGACCCCTGCGCCTGGCGTGGCGTATCGTGCCAGAGTGGTCGGATCACCGCCGTCTCCATGGCGAACAGCTCGCTTGAGGGCTACCTACCATCAGAGCTCTCCCTGCTCTCCTCACTCGAAACCCTAGCCCTACCGCATAACCGTTTCTTTGGCCAGATCCCGTCAGCTATCGGCAATATCAGAAGCTTGGTATCACTTGACCTCTCCAACAACGATTTCTCCGGTCCAGTGCCTTCTGAGATTGCGGGGTTAGAATCTCTCGTTAGTCTTGACCTCTCGTCTAACCAACTCAACGGGTCACTTCCCCCCGCGATCGCCGCGCTACCAAGGCTCTCCGGCGTGTTGAACCTCTCCTGCAACCTCTTCACTGGAAAAATCCCGGCTGCTTACGGCAACTTTCCGGTCGCCGTGAGCTTGGATCTCAGGCAGAATCACCTCTCCGGGGAGATCCCACAGGTCGGTTCGCTGTTGAATCAGGGCCCTACCGCATTCGCCGGAAATCCCGCTTTATGTGGTTTCCCTCTCAAGTATGCTTGCAGTCAACCCGTTGCAAATGCAAACCCTAGCTTAAATGTAAGTTCCCCTACGCTGCGCTCAACCGCGGAGGAGAGGCAACGTAGGCCTGCGGCCATGATCCCGATCCTTGCTGTAATCATCATCGTTGCACTTGTTTCGGTTCTCGTATTACAATGGCAGTTCCGCCGAAGACGTGCTACCGCGGCTGGTGGCAAGGGAATGCTCTGCAAGAAGGGAAAAGGGTCGCCTTCGTTGAATGATCGGCGTGAGGGTCAGAATCCCGACGAGATCTACGTGGCTGTCGATGAGAGCTTCGACCTCGAGCTGGAAGAACTCCTCCGTGCTTCGGCCTATGTGATTGGAAAGAGCCGGAGTGGCATTGTCTACAAAGTGCTCGTCAGCCGCGGCCCTGCTTTAGCTGTCCGTCGCCTCAGTGAGATCGACGACGGCAATGATCCCGATGATCCGTTCCGCCGCCGCCGCACGTTTGAGTCGGAGGCCGGTGCTCTCGGCCGCGCGCGGCATCCTAATTTGGTTCATCTTCGCGCTTACTACTACGCACCCGACGAGAAGCTTCTCATCTACGATTACATCCCTAATGGAAATCTCTTCATTGCTCTGCACGGAGGGCAAAAGGCTGCGGTGGTGGGGCCGGCGCCGATGATGCTACCTTGGGCTGCGAGGCTTGCTATCTTGAAGGGGGTGGCACGAGGGTTGGCTTACCTCCATGAATGCAGTGCAAGGAAGCTCGTTCATGGTAGCTTGAAGAGCTCCAAGATTCTATTAGATGGTAATCTACGGCCATATGTGTCCGGTTTTGGGATTTCTCAGTTGCAGCGTAGTGGCGGAGGGGGATCGAATCAGCAGCCGGTGGCTGCTGAGGCGGGCTACGCGGCGCCGGAGATGAGGTCACCCCCTACACAGAGAGGGGATGTTTACGCGTTCGGTGTGATGATGATGGAGTTGGCAACGGGGAGGAGACCGGAGGCGGGGATGGTGGAGTCGGTGCGACTGTCTTTCAAGGAGGCGCGGCCGCTGTCGGAGTTGGTGGACCCGACTTTGCTGAAGGAGGTGCACGCTAAGCGGGAGGTACTTGCGGTGTTTCATATCGCGCTTGGTTGCACGGAGGCTGAACCTGAGGCGCGGCCGCGGATGCGGACCGTGGTGGAGGGACTCGAACGGATTGGGCCAGAAGTTTGAACCGGGTTTGTGGTTGGTGTGTACAACCGGTTTATGGAGTTTTATGATTCAAATTTGATTGATGAGTTTTGAAATTATTAAAATTATTTTAATATGAATTACATTTTATGAAGTAATTCATATTAAAATTGATTTATTAATTTATAATTCTTCTTTCAAATTTAAATCATTTCTTGGCTTTTTCTCTTCTTTAGCATGCACGATTCCAAGAAGCAATCACTGACTGTACTGCAGCGATCCTGTAGATTATGTTTGGTTTTTTTGAACAATTTCAAATGTGAAATATTTATTTTTCCGATCTGCTCCTGCTTTTTGAATTTGAATGCGATGCTGCGTCAGTTTTGAAGTTGACCAGGACAAATTTGCTGTCCTATTTCGATAGAGATATCACAATAAATAGCGAGATAGATAATCTTTTTTTTAACTAGGGACTAATATTTTAAGGCTTCAATTCTCAATTTTTCTTAAAAAAAGAATACAATAATATATTGATATCAGAATTTTATATTATTGATAGATTAAAATAAATATTATTTATCAAAAAACTGCTGCAGGTTTGGGCTTGATTTTAAAAACTGTCGGGTATGGCAAGTAGGATTCATGCATACAAACTTGTTAGCGCAAAATCGGCCATGCTTAGGAATTGAGCCCGCGAATTTGCTTTCAATTCAAAAGTAATGAATTTGGAAAAATAAAAATTAAAATATTATGTTTCAATTCTATTTTAAAATTATATTCATGTTGAATATCACAAGGATCGCACAACCCAAGGAATAATATGTTGGACATATGAGAGGATTAGAAAGAGAGATTAAGAAAAAAGAGGTGCATCATAACACGGCATTTAGAGAGTAAGTTCATTAGTCTTTTATTGGAGAAATGACCCCTTAGTTATAGCTTATAATGGTATCATGTAATATTATATATTTATCTCTATTTTAAAAAGGGCAATATAAGTCTTTATGACACCTTTTATATTTGTAACTAACTCTGAGACTTCTTCAATATCATAATCATCATTGGCATTTTTTTTGTATTCATGACTGCTTAAAGAGGGGCAGTTAATGATCCATTAAGGTTGTCATTTGGTCGCTGACAACCTTACGTCAGTGGAAAAACAAATGACCAATTGAAAGGTCATCAGCCAGCCCTCTCAATGGAATCATTAGTGGCCCTCATGCCGTTAGGTTGAACTTGGGCCATTAGGGTGAACTTGGGTCATTGGACACTTTAATATGACGGAGCAACTCTCTTAGGACAAGGGGCCTTCTCAGTGAGTCAGAAAGGTGTTCTGTTAGGTGTCATTTGGCCATCTTTGCAAAAAATTTCACAATCAATCGACGGAGCTTGTCATGAATGATTGTTTCTTTATTCATTCGTTTGGTTGTGCGTCTGTTCGATCGGCTCCAAGTTCTAATTTCTATCTTTTGGGTAACCCAATACGCTATCTTCTCGTGTTCAAAACCGAGACCCGTTGAATTTTCTTGAAATTCATGTGGTTATATTTTTTATGTGCATATTTAGTTCTATGATTCTTTTAATCCTTAAAAGTTATAGCTACGATATATATAAGAGAATTAAATGCAAAAATCATTTTTTTTTTTTGCGTAAGAAGTACTTTTAATAATAAATCTTCTAAGATTTTTGTGCATGTAGTCCCTTTGAATAGTGTGTGATCAACACTTCTCCATCAAACTTTTTGATATTCTTGCCCTTCAGTAGGTTGTAAATAGAGTGTTATGGCAAATGGCAAGAAATTTGTAAATGAAGCTGTCATGCTGAAGGCATTCATACTTTCGATCGAAAAACTCTGACCTCCAAAGGACGTAAGGGAGAGAAAAAAAATCAGAGAGTAGTCGACTCGTGAGAAAGAAGAAGTCGGGGGATTAAGGCTTCTTAATATTTATGAAAAGTTGATATACCTAAAATATATATTATTTTTATACCTATTTTTGAGATATTGAGCTTTAATGGAAGGTATTTGTGTGTTTTTTTTTCAGGTACAACTAAAAAGGCGAAAAATGACAAAAGGAGTGAAAAAGGAACATATATGGAGCAAAAATGCAAAAATGAGCAAAAAGGTGAAAAATGCGCCAAAGATTTTTGGCGCCGAAGCGCCAAATCCAACACAAGCGCTGGTTAAACGGAGAAGGCCGCGCCTAAGCACCAGAGGCCCCGCACTTAAGTGCAGTGGTAGTTACTAAACTAGTAAAATTGGTTTTCAAGAACTTCGAAGAGGTTTTTTAAGGCACCCAATTGCTTAATAGGTGGTTATAACCACCATGGACGAAAATTATCATGAAAGGATGCATCTCTTGGGCAAATACATCGAATCAAGACACATTTTGAAGAGATCCAAAGGCAGATTTATAAAAGAAGGAAGTTGAGACATTTGAGATGGGTGCTTGAAGAGGGAGAGAGTGCTGAGTCTTGCGACGATCGTGGAGAATCTTGTAGAAAGATTCAGGCACCATACTAAATTTACTTTTATCCTTTTTGTATTTAGTTTTATTTTGATAGTTTAGAGTTTTGTAAAAGATAAGAGATTCAAAGGAACTTCAAGAATTCGGTAGAGGATTTGAGATATATCTTTTATTTTAGACTACTTTTGGTTTTAATTGAGACTTGTTGTTGGTTTGATAATAATTTTTACTTTTAAATTAAAGTGTGGTTTTGTTTTCTCCATGGATTCATAGTAGTGTTCTTTATATTTCTCCTTAAAATGATAAGTAATTAAACTTTTGCATGGAAATTTTAGAGAGTATTGATCTTTAATGTTGGAAGAAGTTGTGATGACTTAAATTCATGTACTCTATTTAATTCTTGATTTGGCCTATCCAGATGTTAAAATATGTTGTGAGAATATGTAAGAATAGGGCTGATTAGAAAGAATCACATGAGGTTGTACGAATGAAAATGTAATTCATATGATTTAGTGCAAATAAATAGGGAAATAATTGAAGGGTGTAGAGTTAGAGGACTTTAAAGTAACAGGTTAAAGCCCCCAACTTGATTTATTTTTTTAGGTTTTGAGATGAGATGTTAGCCCCTAGGTGGAGGGAATCAAGGGAACTCTGTAGTGAGAGATGGTATCTTCCTTGCCTAGCCATTCTTAAAACTATTAAACTTTAAATTAGTCAATGTGCTTTATAGCATCTCTAATAAGGGTAAAGCATATAATTGCTCCTATTTGGCACAACACAATTTGCAACTTCCACAAAAAAATTCATATACTTATTACAAATTCATGATAAGGAGAAAGATATTTTCATATCAAGTGCTTTTCTTTACATAAACTCAAGTTATCTTTAGAAGTTTTTACCGTTTTGTCAAAATCTCAAAAATACCAAAAAGATTTCAATTTTAATTACTGTCAAATTATCTATAGTTTAAGTAATTGTCTTTTAAGAATAGAAAGCTTGTTGTTCAATATTGCATATTACAGAATTTCCCTGTGGGTTCGATATTCAGGTCTTAATAAAAAAGTTCTCTATTACTTGATAACGATGCATATACTTGCGTATTATCTCAATATATAAATTAAAGAGTTAAATTCTTATTTTCTTCAGGATCAAGTTTTTTGTTCAGTTGTGAAATATATGTGAAAATTATAATTAAATTCACTATTATACTGTTGTAAATAAGCAGTTTTGGGATCAAGTTTTTGGCGAGTTGCCGGGGAAATTAGAAAAGAAGATTAATTTAAAAGAAAATTTCTAATTTTATAAAGTCTTATTTAAACTTTAGAAAGTTATAATATTTTATTTTGTGTGCTTTATTTATTTTTTATTTTTTTTATTTTTGTGTATGCATTGTTCCGGTCCTGAAGGACTAGTGCCCTACGATTTTGAATTAGAAAGAACTGTTAAGAAAATAAAAAAAA